TATTGGCAATGCTGGAATCCACTGCTTCTTTATCATATCTATAAGAACTTACTAGTCTGACCAAGACCTGTTCGATATTTACATGTCAGTATGAAATCAAGAAATTTATGTGAATTAACATGAGATTTTAACTAACCCCTAACCAAAATCAAGGAACAATTTATATATTGTGAATAGAAATACTGGATGTAAATTGTAGATAATTTTGTCATCATCCAATTGCTCTCAAACACAGATTCACAGAAAAGACCATAGCTATCCAGGAATATCCTTCTATTTGAGAGGTTCCTCTCCCTACCCCCCCCCCCAAAACCCCAGTTGGGGTGTCGAGGGTGGATGAGCTGAGGGGATAGGGAAGGGATGCAAATGAGTAGTAGAATGTCACCTTGATGTGGTGGAAATCATCCGTTTGAACACATAAAATTCTTTGAGGTTAAAAGTAGAAGCTCAATGTCCTAGAGCATAACAATTCTAAAGCTCTATTCAAAAGTCTATGATTGCTAACTGTTAATACTTAGGTAATCTGTAGCTAGAGCGCGAGAAGAAACACGAAAATATAATCAAGTTTATCTCTTCGTACAAATTTACCTTTTGCACAGGCAGAGAGACATTAGATATGATGTCTTCTTCAAGAGAACACTCAAATAGAGCGCAATATGCTTTCCTTACGGCAGCCAGATGGTGAGGTGATGATGTGCAAGCCATCTCTACCAGTACTTCTAACTCCGTGATATTTTTCCTCCTCGATTTCAGGGCTTTATTTGCGAGTCTTGCATCTCTTTCAGGAGGATCATATGCCCATAAGATCACAGCTCTCTGTCACTCATCAGATATCGAAATCAGCATTTTTAAATCTCTTGGAACAAGACTGTTTAACGATTACGTTGACAGTTTAGTAAAGATAAAAGGATTACTTTGACATGCGTTTTTAATTTGGAAAATTCGTCACCAGAAATCTGTCTCCTTGGTCTAATATTTACATTATAGAGCTGATAATACTTAACCCCTATTTAGATAAAATCATTATAACTTTTGCCTTCACATATTGAGAAATATGTGACAAATTAAATTGGACTCTTTGTTTTGAGAAATACATCAGTTTGAGTGTTTGGGAGCAAATCCAAGACACAAAACCAATCCAAATAGAAGTACCGATAGCATTTAAGAAACATCTGCACATATGGGATTTCCTTTCTAACGAATTGATTTATCAAACACATGCTTTCACCAAATGAAATGCTAGGTATATGAGAAGAAATTTTGAGTTGTATCAAATGAAATCACTTTTTTGTTCTTTTACAACGTGAGCAACAAGAGAGGATTACAGGCATATATATATAGAGGAAGGAAGAAGCTATACAACCGTTGAAAAATATTGCAAAGAAAGAAAGGAATTAATTTATGGTGACTGCAGCAGAATTTCCTTTCTTGAGGCTGAGTATAAAAGGACATTTTTTCTTGATTTTAGGCAAGGATCTTCACACAGTGATCAGCTCCAGAAATTGATGCTAATTGTGAGAAATTTGTGATGATTCCATGAGCTGGCTGATCTGATGCTAATTTGACTGCAGCAGAATTTCCTTTCTTGAGGCTGAGTATAAAAGGACATTTTTTCTTGATTTTAGGCAAGGATCTTCACACGGTGATCAGCTCCAGAAATTGATGCTAATTGTGAGAAATTTGTGATGATTCCATGAGCTGGCCGATCTGATGCTAATTAGCATCAGATGAGCCAGCTCACGAAATCATCACAAATTTTTCACAATTAGCATCAGTTTCTGGAGCTGATCACTGTGTGAAGATCCTTGCCTAAAATCAAGAAAAAATGTCCTTTTATACTCAGTCTCAAGAAAGGAAATTCTGCTGCAGTCACCATAAATTAATTCCTTTCTTTCTTTGCAATATTTTTCAACGGTTGCATAGCTTCTTCCTTCCTCTATATATATGTCTGTAATCCTCTCTTGTTGCTCCTGTTGTAAAAGAATAAAAAAGTGATTTCATTTGATACAACTCAAAATTTCTTCTTGGTATTGATTTTAGGCAAGGATCTTCACACAGTGATCAGCTCCAGAAATTGATGCTAATTGTGAGAAATTTGTGATGATTCCATGAGCCGGCTGATCTGATGCTAATTGTGAGAAATTGATGCTAATTCCTTGAGCTGGCTGATCTGGTAGATTTGTGTTAATAATATGCACATATAGAAGTAATTATCAATGCCTTCAAATTCAAGTTATTGAAAGGAACGTTCAAATTATGCAAAGAAGCACAAAATAATTCGTAAATTTGATGCTATTTAACAAAACTTATTCAAATTTGGGATTACTTTTACCTTCAAATTCATACATCAAGATGAATAAAGGGTAGATAATAGAAAAATATGTACCCCAAAATCACCAGATAATTCAGAATCGAGAAAATCTATAAGGGACTTCTTGTAAATCTGCTGAAACATCTCTTTGATTTTCTTCCTTTGGCTTGCATTTTTTTGCCCCAACACCCTAATTATTGCCTTCTCGTCTGTTCCCAGTCCTTCAAAACAACAAACCCCTAAAGCATAATGCATGATGCATGTATTCACGTAAACAAAATCAAGGAAAAGGAAACATAGCACTTGCATTAATTAACAATATTATATCAGAAACAGAAAACCCGGAAAGAAAAAAAATGTATGTGCGAAGAGGTACCCTTGAAAGCGTTCATGAGTTTTTCACTGTCTTCAGGTGGAGAAGGAACCACTTCTGGTACTCTATTAGTAGCCATTTTTTATGCATTTTCTTTGAATTTGTTATCTTTTCTACTAAAGGGTAAATATTCGCCTAAGGCTATGATTTTCAGTATTTTCTCTTAAGTGGTGAATATTCGTCAAGGGGGAGACTATTGTGCACGTGGCATCATATAAAGTGGAACACAGATTTACTGGATCAAATAGGCCAACGTCGGAGCGGAGCGATATAGAGTGAGGCAAGCGTAGCACACCAAATAGAACGGAGCGAAGCAATGACATCGGCCTTGTGGGTTTTTATCCACTGTTTGTTTACCAGGGACGCTGACTGGGTTGGGTCAACACCACCCTTTTTGTTATATGGGATTCTAGCCCATGAGGAGATAAGTAGCCCAAATCCATTATATATTGTATTTTAGGTCACATTATACGTACATATAGTTAAAAACCGTGGCTGCCTATTAATATATACAAAATTGAGGTTGCTTTGTGAGAAGGAAAAGAATTGAGCCTACTAGATGTGAAACTATGGCTACGTAATAAAAGAAAAAACAGAGATTGTATGGGTGGAGAGAAATAAAAGAGAAAAATGGTTTTTCTTTCAACTTTGGGTGTAGATTTCACACAGATATTTCTCTACACTGTACAAACTGAAGATTTCTCTAAGTGATGTATTTTGGTACGCTAGAGGTGTAGTATTCAAAGTGCGTATTTCACAGGTTTTTTCAAATTGCTGATTTGTGGTGAGATTATTTGTTGTTTTAGAAATTGATTATTGTTGTATTCCCAACTTGTTAAGAACTCAAGTTTTGCGCATAAATTTGAACGTTGTAATTTCTGTTTATTATATTGGATTTGGCCAGAGTTGTCTTGTGGTCTTTTTAAAAAATTTGGTGTGTTCTTTCTATATTGTTTTTTTTGAAATTTAATTGGTTGTTTGCTTGGATTGTGAATTTATTCTTGCCAAAGGGGAAATTACCCAACACTTTGAGCTAAGTTATTAGTCATTTATTCTTGAGCCACAAACTATTTCTACATCTTGTGCAAGTACTGTGCACTTCGCATAGAAGTACTTATATTTGATATAATCAATAGTTGTGTGTATATTGTATTTACCTATTCTACTAGCATATAATCACTCAACATCAATAGCTATAAGTTGTGGCATCTAAGTAGTAAGTGGATGGATAACTATATACATATTTCCTTTTACATTTACATTGATAATATTTGGAAAGAGAATATCAAATATTTCTTATGTACATCAAAATATACCGACATGATCAGCTAACATGTCCACTAGGAACGTAGACATTATATGCTCCTGATTAATTGGTTTTGGGGTCTATGAAGGTTTGGAAAGGGAAGGATTGACAATAATAGTCAACACAAACTAGCACTATAATATCTGTTACAAATAAAATTAGCTAGTAAAGTAAGTGATGTTGTTTCTTGCGAAACCCGCAAGCGTACGGATCATTGACAAGTTATAGATTCAGTAAGTTGAAAGTATCGTTCCACGGGGAATAATTTCAATTCAAGTTTACTAGTTTCATATGGAATTCAAATTAGATAAAACAAAAGAGAGATTTTGTTTTTATTTTATGCTAAATTATCTCAGAAATCAATAGAAGTTTGGTTTTTATGAAATTATGGATGATTGTATTGAATTTCGAATCCGCTTATTGCTATATATTTCAACTCTTGATTTGTAATCTAGTTTCATTCATGTGTTCCTGACAACTAATAAAGCTATGATATATAATTTTCTTTTTCAAGACAAATTAAATATATTCTAACCACGACCCGAATATATTTCTAACCTGAATGCGAGTAATTAGAATGTATTAAAGTTTAGATAATCTATATGATTGCACTAGTAATAAATGTTATTCCTAACATCTATTGCATATATATTAATTTTATTGCATTCCAAATTTATTGTGAGTCAATCAATTAAATAATACAATGGGCATATAAAATGAATCAAGAAATGCAAGAAATATTAAACTATTAGTCTTGAATTAGAAATAAATAATAAATAGTGTTCATCTTTATCCAGAATGAAAAGGGATCTAGCATAACATATTAATAGATAAATTACAAGAAGAATAATGGAAAAATATCACTTAGATCATGAAAGAATACAAAAGATATTGATCTTCAAGTCCAAGATTGAAATCTTCAATATCTTTATATAATTGAGCTTCAATTGCTTGCTAAGGTTTGATCTCCTCTCTCTAAATATAGTCATTTGATAAGAGTGTAAAATATAATACTTTTTCCTCTTAATTGTTGAATTTGTATAATTACTTGATGTCAAAATACACTCATTACTCTTATATTTTGATCTAGATCACAATTTGATGGAAAATGTGAAATTTGGAAGAAATGAGTAAAAAAGGTCAAAGTGGAAGAAAGTGAAAGTTCAGAGACCAAGTTGCAAATAATTCATAATGAGACGGGTGATGAAATGATGATTCAAGAAAGTTAGGAGTCAACTGGGTGTAATTTGAAATCAAAAGAAGTGAAATATGACCATAACATCTTTACAAATCAATTCACAATTGAAAAAGTTACGCACCGGTTTCAGCCTCATGTTAAGACCCATTTTTGATATGTAAAATGATCAAATTGGAAGGTTACTTTTGAAGCATAGTTGTAGAACTTCGAGTTAGCTGTCCAACGCAACTTGAATCACTTCAATCGAACATCAAAAGAAAAAGTTATGGCCAAAATACTAAAAGCTGTCTGACGGAAAAAAATTTGAACTATGCGGTCACATAGGGTCTAGGGAACTTTTGGGTGCCACACATTTTTTCTATGCGACCACATGGCTTATAACCATATGGTCGCATAGTTATCCTCCAAGACGAAATTTGCCAAATTCCTAAATTAACGCCATCACTTATGGAAATACGTTTTGACATGTTTTTCTTAAGACCAAAAACACTCAAGAACGTGGGGAATTGAACCTGGACTCCATTTTTCTCTCATCTTTGGCCAAGAAATTCCATGGAAGGCTAAGAAAACTTTAGTGAAGCAAGGGATGAGCTCGATTGGTGCCGGTGACGTCAATGTCTCTTCACATATGTAATTTGGTTTTTCATTGATAAACAATTCTAGGTTCATGATTTCCTGTTTATTAAATATGTTTTGGAATTGGTTTAATATGTATTAGATTTTCATGGATTTAATAAAATTCTTTTCATTGAATAATTGAAGTATGTATTGAATTCCAATTTCAATCATCCCATTAGTGTAATTTGCTAATATTATATGCTTGATGTATGTAATTGATTTTGAATCTAATTCCAATGAATTAAAGTGAGAATATCTTGTAGGAAATCTAAATTCTAGAGTTATAAGTGAAATTCAATTGATTTTTTCTCATAGACTCAATCATGTTTTGTCTATTGTGAAATTAACTATTTGTTGAATTTCAATTTCATACAATTTTATTGATGATTTGATTACTGCATTATACTTGAGGTATATTGTCATTTCTCAAAGTGATTTGAATGAGTTTTTTTTAACCAATTGAGAGGATTCCTGCGTTTCATTATTTCACACATTGATTCAAATTTCGTTACTTCAATAATTGATAGTTACATTTCATTCAAACCTATAAATTTCTTACACAAAACACGAAGAAAACCCTAAACTTTTGATCCTTTAACAAATTTCTCATCTCCCTGTGGCTACGACACCCTAAAGCCATACTACAACTACCGTGCTATACTTTGGGCGTAATCATCATTGACCATTTTTCTTGATGAATTTGATGATACTATTGTGTATCAAGAGGCAATAGAGGCTTTTCCAATGTGTAACTATTGTTCTCTATTTATAAGAGCTAGAAAATAGGTTAAAATCGAGGTCCAATTTGGGTTCCAAAAGAGTTTGAATCATGAAAGAAAACTGCTAATTCGTCTGCGAAAAAACCTGTGGGCATACAAGCATAACCACCTCATGCGCACCATTGATCCAAATGGCTCTTGGGTCAAATTTTTGGTGTCTTACGCGTGCACCAGAATTGTCACCCGTGCGCGCCAGTTTGCTCAGTGTCACCCCTGAGTAGCTTTCAATATTTTGATTATAACTTTCTATCATGATATCTAATTGAGATGTTCAAAATTCGTGGGAAAGCTAACTCAAAAGTCTACAATTCCTTAAAAAAATACAATTTTTTTTTCAATTCGAATGTTTGCTATCTGAAAAATGGATCTCAAGTTCAGGCTAAAAATTTAGAACATAGATTTTTCAACTGGAAATTGATTTGACTTCAACTAATTCAAAAATAAATCCCATCCCCTAAAGTCTTGAGTCTTCATTTCTTCTCTTTTAATATCAATAATGTATGTCATCTTGTTCCCAAGGAACACAAAAATTTATCGCTGCAGTTGATAATCCAGAAATAGCAAGATTTCACCTCCCCAGTGTTTGAATATTGATAAAGATAAACTTTGACCAAGATTTTGAACACCCGTTTGTCAAACAAATCACCACCAAAAGTCACAAACAAACACATACAATCGTTAATTATTACCATGTATATTCTACTCTGACGAGTGATTGGAGACCGTGGAAGTGATCTGAAGCACTCACGGCTAGACTTAAATGGGATACATACCCACTACTTGGTAAGTCTGGACCTCTAATAAGACCCCCTCGTCGAAGTCCGTCCACCCGCCTGAGCTTGATGTGTCAGAAGGAGCCGGAAGTTAATCACCTTGATAGAGAG